TCTCTCTCTCTCTCTCTCACACACACACACACACACACACACACACACACACACACACACACACACACACACACACACACACACACACACACATCTTTGCGTATTTTTTTAGCAAGTGGCACATCTTCAGAATCTGCGCCCAAAGATTCTGAAGATTCTTCTGTGCTGCTGTCCTACCCTTCTTCGGCTTCGGGGATCCCCTTCCGAGATGTTTTGCCCTCTTCCTCGGGCTCGCCGGCCTCCACCTGCATCTCCTTTGGTGGCGACGCCTTCCATGGTCGCCCCTTGCCTCTTTCTGCAGGCCCCTTCGCTGCAACCTCGGCAGCAGCACCCTGTTTGCTACCCTGCTGAGATGCCTCTCCATCTTCCGCCACTAGCATGACGTCCGCTGCAGTGTCCTGCACCTGTGCCACCTTCCGCGGTTGCCCTACAGCCCTCTTTGCGGGCGCCTTCACATTCAGTGCACGCACTTCAGCTCTTGCGCTGATATACCTCTCGGCGCGCTCACAAGTGACAGTCTTGCGTGCACCTTGATATACCATGAATGTAGCTCCTTATTGAGCTCTCTTTCAAGCTCAAGCAAGCTGCTGCTGGCCCGCTGCCATGCAATTGTGCTTGCCTTGGCCACGGTTTCAACGCCACCATCATCGCCGTCTTCGTCTTCATCTTCCTCACCATCCTCTCCCTCCTCCCTACCCCTGTGCAGCTTGGCTCTCCACTCCTCCACCCTCTTCTTCGCCTCGTCGCATAATTGCTCCGCTGTCAAGTCCCCGACCCCGTTCCTTCATGGCTTCTTCTTCTTCGCCTCCTCCCTTTCATCAGGCTTCTTCTCCAGATTGTCCAACAGATGCTGGTTCCATCTGTTGTACACTAATCTGCTCAATTGTTCGATGCCAAGGCTATCGCGTGGTTTGGTGTGAATTCTTTCAAAGAGTCTCCAGTTCCGGTCACACCCCGAGGCAAAGGACCCTTGTCCAAGCAAACGGATCGCCTGCCACTGCAAGTTCGGCATCTCGCTGCACTACTTCCTCCACCATCTCGGTGGCTGGCCACTACGCGCTTCTTCAAGAGCCCTCTCACTTTTGAACTTCCCCGTCCCTTCAATCCAGCAATTTACTTTCTTGTCCAACTCGCGGTACGCTGACAGCTTCGCCCAAGAGTACAGCCATGTCCAGAATCCGTCCATCACCTCCGGATCTTTGTCCAGGCTTGAGTCCCTGAACTCAGGATCGAGGAACATCGCTGCGCAATGCAGCAGAGAAGTCATCGTGTTCCACCTCCGCATGATGATCTCCTCAAGCTCTTCTTTCTCCAGTTCTGTGAGGCAGTCCTGCTTCCGTAAGCTCTCCACAGCCTCGTCCATGCGCCCGTAGATATTGCCGATCGTCGGGCCGATTCCGTCACTCAACTTCAACAAATCGAGGAGTTGCGCAGACGTCTTCTGCACCTTCTCTGCTCCCACCCGGAAGTCATTGTCCAAGATGGTTGCTGTTGCAGCGGGGAACAAGTGACGCTGCCCTGGAAGCACGATGCTCTCCTTCCAGTCCTTGTCCGTCAAGCATGTCTGCAGCGGCAGGTACAAGTCCTGCACGCTGTCCAACATGATGAAGTTGGTGGCGAGTCGAGTCGCCCGGGCCTTGCGAGAATTGCTCCATGAGAATTGACGAGAAGCAAATCCCTTACCTTCGTGTGGTTCATAAAAAAATTCACTACCTCCGCTGCCTTCTTGAGCACAATGTCCACCCAACCTATCTTCCCAAATTGCTCGAAAATCAGGTCAATGTTGTGCGCTGTGCACGGAACTGAGAAGATGTGCTTGAATTCAGCTTCGATCATCTGCCCTGCAGCTACACAGGTGGCTGCATTATCCATCACCACCCCCACGGCAGCCTCCTCCCCGATCTCATGGATGACCCTTGACAATATGTCAAAGTACGCCTTCGCCCCTTTATCCCGGCGCTGCATGCAAACAGCCCGCCAAAAGATGGCGCCTTTGGGGAAGGAGACCATGACATTTATGAATGGTCTTCCTCACCGATCAGTCCACCCGTCAAGTTGCAACATGCAACCGCTGACGGGCCACTCTGCCCTCAGGTGGTCCATCCTCTCTGACACCCTCTTTCGCGTAACAGCCACCCTTTTTGTTCGCACGTCGTCGAATTTCGCATACTGGAAGGACTTGGGCGCATCCATCAACTTCTTCACCATCCGGGCCCATACGCGCTCCGCATCATGTTGAATGGTATGCACTCGGTAGTCATCCAGTCGTCCACTGAACACTGGTTTTCCTCGTTCTTGGTGATGATTGTTGCGCTATCGGTGATTTTTGTCTGTTTGGCATTCGTCGTTGACGACTTCATGTGCACCGTGACATCTTCGGGTTTTTTGTGCTTGCGGTGACTAGCGGAGCGACACCCGTCCATCAAGAAGTGGCCAAGCTCGCTGACTCGGAGAGGGGGGGGGGG